GAGCCCTCGTCGTTACCACGTCCGCCAGGCGCTGCAGCCAGGTGTGTGGGGGGCGTGTGGCGGGTGGGTGGGTGGGCGGGGGGCAGGGAGGTGTGCCGGGGGGGCTGGTGCCTGGTGAGGCAAGCAGGCAGGGGCGGGCAGGGGCGGCGCAGGCCCCCCTGCTGCTGCCGGCTGCTGTACGGGGCGCGTGCGGCTGCGCACCCGTGCCGCCTCCCCCCACAGCTGCTTGATCTTGAGGTATGCGATGAACTCCTCGGCGTGGGTGGGCTCCAGCTTGAGGTACCGCCGGTACACCTGCAGGACGGCGGGCACGCGGAGGGGGGGCGGGGGGGGCGCGGGCAGGCAGGAAGGGATCAGGCTGGGGCGGGGCGGGCAGAGGGCAGGCCCGCAGCTCCGCCCGCTGCACCGCCCGCACTTGGGAGGTGTGCTCCACACCCCTGCCCGCCCGCCTGCCTGGGGTCCCCACCCCATCCACCTGCCCACCCCACTCCCAGCAACCCAGCCACCCACCCACAAGGCGTCCCCACCCCCGCCTGCGCAGCACCGCCTCACCCGCACCGCCGTCTCCATGGGTATGCCCGGCTGGCCGATAAAGCGCAGGTACAGCGGCCACACGCGCTCGTGCTGCGTGACGGGCAGGCTGGTGAGGGCGCGGTCGAAGAGGCGGCGCATGCGGGTGATGTAGGCCTGGACCGCCATGAAGTCCAGGTACATGAGCCAGATGCGGGGCATCTTGTGCATCGACACCATGGCCCGCTCAAAGGTGTTGTTCAGCGACTCGACGGCCGGGTGCGCGGGGGACAGCCCCCGCACCGCCACCAGCCGCTCAGACAGGTAGGCGTGCCACAGCTGCGGGGGGGAGAGAGCAAGGGGCAGGGGTGGGGTGGGGTGGGATGACAGGGAGGGAGGGGAAGGGGGGCCACCCCCAACCCGGCGGCGGCGTGGCGGGGAGGCCAAGCCTGCGCCGGGCGAGGGGGGGCGGCAGCAAGGCCGCCCCCGCCCCGCCCTTTGCTGCTCGTGCTCCGCGGCTCAACACACGACCCCCTGCACTGGACGGCGTAAGCTGCAAAATTCAAAAGCTTGTCCGGGTGGCTCCGGTGTTTGCATTGGGCGCACTTGTTAGGAGCCCGGCAGCCGTTGAACCGCCCGCTCTTACGGCAGGTAGCGCTTCCTGGGGTTGGCGCTCTTGCGTGCGTCCAGGTAGCGTATCCACATTCTCAGCGAGTACGGGTTCCGCAGGAGCTCCTCCTCGAAAAGCAAATCGTCCTCGCCCGGCAGCAAGTCCTCCAGCGCTGCATCGCTGGCCGGGGTCCCATTGGCCGCTGCTGACGCCATGCTGCTGCTTGCGTACCGTGCCCTGTCCTCTGCTGCTCTCGCTTCACTGTGATGCCATCACTTCAGCAGGGGTGGGATGAGGGCTGGGGTGCACGAGAGGATGGGTGCAGCAATGATCTACAAGTGCGTTGGAGGCGCAGGCGGCAGATGGGGCCAACAGGGACACTGTACCGCCCCGCCGCCGCTCGTACCTCAGTCGTGCACCGCCGCCAGTCTATGTCTCGCACGGTGCGGTAACTGGAGGGCAGAATTCCGACCGTCCATCAGATGCAAAAATTATAGAGAGGAGACAGGCAGTAGGCTTGGCGCAACAATGCAATGCCTCTATAGCCGCCGCAACGATGCCGCCCTTGAGTGCCAGTGGCCCGCTGGAGCAACTGGGATGCGCCACATGCTTCTTACATGTCACTGGATGCACAGTCTCGCGCATCTGGCAGCGGGTGCGATGCCAGCGGGCATTCTGTAATGCGAAATACCTTGGCATCCCGCTGCTGCACTTTTTCAGCCAACCAGTGCCTCACCGCTGCCGCCGCTGCTGCTGCCTCGCCATCTTCCGTTGCGTGCCCAGCGTGATGTGTGTCGCTGCCCCCGTTGCCACTGCTGCCACTGGCTTCTGCATGCAGGTCTGAGCCCTCAACTCTGCTGCCAACGCTCACAGCTGCCGCACAGGAACTGCTGCCTATCGGTTGCGGCGCTGGCAGGGTGCTGTCCAGGTCCCACCAGCGCCCGCCAAACGACTTGAGCGCCAGCCAGTGCCGCCCGCCAAGTATGCGGCTCAAAGCGCCCTCGCCCTGCATGCCACATGTGGAGCAGCGTGCATCAGCGGCCACAGGCCACTCGTGAGCAAAAGTGGTGTCCATGGCGGCGAACGAGCCACGACTCAAGGGCTCCGCCTGCGCATGGCTGTCGGCAGGCACCAGCGCGCCCCACCTTGACGTTAAGCAGCAGACCCCAGCACGCATCCAGGTCCAGATGCGCAAAGCTCAGGTCGCGCAGGTCGCACCAGTGCAGCTTCTGCACAAGTCCATGGGCCGAGTCACAGCTGGGAAACAATGCTGCATTGCTCCGGTCAGAATCCGAGCTGTTGTGGCACGCCCAGCGTTGCAGCGCGCTACCTTTCCGTGCCGCCTGAGGGCCAGCTCCATCACATTGACATCCCAGTTGCCCAGGAATAGTGTCCTGCAGGCAGCAGGCATGCAGGGGCAATTGATGGGTCGGGTCGGGCACACAAGTATAGAATACCGGCAGGGTAGGAGGATGGAGAGCACCTGTGTGGGTGAAGGATGGGAAGCCGGCCAGGTGCCAGCTGGTTGGCGATGCCGTCCAGCTCGACGCTATCAAACACTCGCTGCTGAAAGAGGTTGTTCAGCGTGTGCAAGAGGCACTGCTGCAGTCGCTGCCGCTCCTGCGGCACAGACGGCAAGCGGTGGCGGCGGGCGGGCGGCAGCGCGGGTCACGCTGCTGCATGCTTGACTGGATCGGCAGTGTACCAGCGCATTCCCTCGAGGCTGCACCGCAGTTTCGGAGCCATGGAGCCTGGGGATCTCACATGGTAGCCCGGCGCGCTTTCTGCCATTTGGCCCATTTCCCCGCTTGATGTTTGACGTCCGAACTAACAGGAATGCCCAATCAGGCGTTCATGAAACGGCTTTCCTCCGCCAGCCAGGACAAACTCAAACCGCGTCAGGTGCAGGTGCAGGCTCTATACTCAATCCCCATTTCTCTTCCCCCAGGCGCTCGGCAAGGCCTCACAACCCTGAAGATGGCTCGCTCCGCGGTTGTGGTGGCCGTGCTGCTGGCCCTGTCGGCTCCTGCTGTTTTTGGCCAAGGGACCTCCTCCATCAATGACCTGCTCAACAACGCGGCCCTGAAGCCCTTCGTTTCCGCGGTGGGTGTGCCCGGCAGGTTGCGCCGGTGGTTGGGGGGAGGTTGCACCGCGTCATGCGCCGCCGCGGTGCTCAGGCCTCCACTCCTGCTGCCTTCTTTTCGTGCCCTCGCTGCCCGCCCGCTGCCAGTGTCACGGCTGCAGAGTGGCGAGGTAGCTGGTGGGGTGGTGGGCCGCCTATGGCGGCAGCAGTGACGGCACCCAGCGTCTTACCGCCGCCCTGGTATGCCCTGTTTGCGTGCGCCTGCAGGTCATCAGCATCCCCGAGTGCCTCTCCGATTCTGCTCTGTTGTCGTTTGATGTGAACGAGTGCCCCTCGCTGCTGCGCATGCTGGACGCGCTGTCGCTGGGCAACACCAACCCCGCCGTCTCGTGCGAGCTGTCGTGCGTGGAGCAGTTTGCCAAGGTGGGCCTGCAGTCTGGGGAGCTGGGCACTGTGCAGCCCATCAGCAGGTTGGGAGGCTGGCAGGCAAGGCAGCACGCGCGATACACAGAGCATGCATGCATGCATGGCCCTCCTCACTGCTGAGCGGTGCCAACCTGTATCCGATGCCGGGCGGCAGCCGCACGGCCACGCCGTCTTGACTGCGGCACCTGCTCCAAAGGGTGTGGTGCTGTTGTCATCTTGCCCTCCTGCTGCTTACCCCACCTGCAGCTCAGCGAGACGTGCTTTGCGGAGCTGATGGACAAGTTCAGCAGCGACACCACCAACACTGGCCGCCTGGCCTCTGCGTTCTTCGAGGAGTGCGATGCGCTGGTGGCGGACAGCACGCAGGCCGCCCCCGCCCCTTCCCCCGCGGCAGCCGAGGAGGTCTCGGAGCCCGAGAGCGCCCCCACCCCCGGTACGTTGCTACCCTCAACTTTATGGCACCCAGCTGGCCTTTGCGGGCCTCTATATGCCGTATTGTGCCTCTTGCATGCCTGCCGCCCAGTCCCTGACAGGCAGCCCCTCCCCCATGGCTCTTTGCAGAGCCGGCCGTGGCCGAGGCGCCCGAGCCCGCCCCGGTGCCATACAGCAGCGCAGCCGGCACACTGCCCAAGGCGCTGCTGTCCCTGCTGTCCCTGGCAGCCGCCGCCTTTGCCCTGCTGGCCTGAGCCCGAGCCACAGCAGCATGCAGCTTTGCTAGTGCCCACCACGTGGCGGTGCATGCCGGCCTTGTGCGAGTGCGCCGTTCTCTCCATCCACCACTCCTGGACCGCCCGCTCTCTCGTCATGCTTTAACTGATCTTGTTGCGTCCTTTCTGCTGTCATGGTCTGCTCCAGAGGGCCATTGCCCCTGCTTGTCCGTCTCCTGCCCAACGGCCACCTTTTAAGCGACCGTTACGGCTCGTGTTTCCTACTTGTCTGCTGGATCGAACTGTAAGCATCTAGGACACACAGGTGTGAAGGATGTGCAGGTTTGCAGTGAGAAGCAATTGAAGTGACTCATAGCCTGAGACACATCATCATTATGGGGGCAATGGTGTTGAAACCTGCCCAATCAGCCCCGCCGCCACGTGGTGCCGCAGGGTTACCATCAGGAAGGATCTGCGTCCTCCACCTCTTGCAGGCAGACCAAGACAAGCCTTAGGAGCAGAAAGGAGATGCGCATACCAAAGACGGCGCATTTCTTTTCTTGTGCCTGCTGCTGGGCCTGCTGTGCGTCCTTTTGCGGGTCCAATTCAAACCGTCGGTTGCCCACTCGCCACCCGCCTGTTCCCTCTGCCGCGCCACACTGACCTGCGATCGTCACCATGGCGCGCACAGGCCTTTTTGTTGTGGTGCTGGCCTTGGCGGCCGTCATGGCCCGCGGCGACGAAGCGCCGTTCGTGTACAACACCGTGACTGCGGTGGCCGACCGTGCCGACTTCAGTGAGTGCAGGCAGCGCGGGGCAGCAGCAACAGGGCCGCCGCAGTTGGGCCCGACAGCTGCACTCCTCAGCCTCCTGAAACCCGCCCTCTTCGCCACTCCCTGTCCTGTCCTACCCTGCAGAGACGACGATCAAAATTGTGCGTGCACTGGGGGTGACCATGAGTGCAGTCCCTTTGGCCGGCTGCCTGCCGGCATAGTGCGCCGCTGCCATGCTGGGGTTTGCGCGGCCTGGCCCTTGAAATCCTGCCCCCTCCTCTGCAGTTTGTGGAGACGTATGACTGCACGGGGGACAACAAGATCTTCCTGGTGAGCAAACAAAATGGAGGGAGGGGGCTGCAGCAGGGTGCGGCAGACCTGAGCGCCATGCATGCGGGACCGGGGCCCAACGCATGTTCCCCCCATACAGCCGTGTGAGCCTGCCCCTGCCCTGCCTTGTTGCACCTGCGCTGCCCGACACAGCCCTCCCTGCGCCGCTCCCCAATGCCACCCTTCTGTCCCTCAGCAAGACTTCCTGACCTGCGACTTCACCTGGGTCGAGGATGTGGTTGACAAGAAGAAGGTCATCTCGCCTGTGAAGTGCCCTAGGGGATGCGCCAAGCAGTGGGGCAAGGTGAGGAGAGCAGTCAACCGCCTCCTGCTGCAGCGCGTGGGAGCAGCGTGCGCTAGCACAAGCGTGCTTGCTCATCATGGTGCTGGGTGCGGTGCTGAGTGGCTCACAAGCCCACGCCCCACACTGAGGCAGAGTGTGCTGCCCCCCCACAGATCTCCGAGGGCTGCTACGAGGGCTTCCGCGCCAACATGGTCGCCGACAAGCGCTTTGGCAAGCTGGCCGACAACTTCTTTGACGAGTGCAAAGTGAACAGCAAGGCCGACGTCGTCAGCTCGGCCTCCATCGACAAGACAGAGGACAAGCCCGCCGCGGGTGGCGCAGCCGGCGACAAGCCCGCCGCGGGCGGCGCAGCCGGCGACAAGCCCGCCGCGGGCGGCGCAGCTGGCGACAAGCCCGCCGCCACTGGCTCTGTGTCGGCCACCAGCCTTGATGCTGCCGCCCCCGCTCCAGCCTGGAGCGAGTCTGATGGTGCGGAGTCGCCAGCAACCGAGGACACCACCGCCGCCACCCCCACCGCCTCTGAGGAGACCACCACCACCGACCCCGAGGAGGGGACCGTCCCCACGCCGGACCCTGCCCCCATCCCTGAGGAGGAGGAGACCACCGACCTGCTGCTCGACGCCTTCGCACCTGCTGGCGCCGAGGCGCCCGCCCTGGCTGAGGCACCCGTTGCCGGACCTGTTGTCGCTCCTGCTGCTGCCCCCTCCCCCGCGCCGGCGCCATCCCCATCCCCCGCGCCCACCCCTGCACCTGCGCCGGTGCCCAGCAGCGCTTCCGCCGCCTCTGTCAAGTATGTGGCGCTGGCGCTGCTCGGCATGCTGGTGCTGCTGGTTTGAGCGGCCTGGGCTGCATTCGTTGAACTGTTGCTGAATCACGCTCACCTTCCCTTTTCTGCAAACACACATGTCTGCGTCATATTCATGCCATGTGCATTGCTGCACCCCCAACTCAACATTTCTCTTTGTCTGTTCCCATCTGCCGCTGCGAAAGCGTCGATCACGCCAGCTGGCAGCTTCCCAAAATGTTATTCCTCCCACACAACATTGGTTGCTGTATCTGGTTGCTGTACTTACACTCTTCTTCACTGTGTAACCCACTGCCACCTAGCAGCGACCTTGGGGATGCGTCGCACAGCACAAGCTCTCAACACAGCGGCAGCTCTGTTGAGAGCTTGTCCAGAAGGGCCGCAGGCGATCGGCAACAATCCAGCTCTGAACAGCGCGGCAGCCCTTGGCTGTCGAAACAGTGCAGGAGGCCCGGAGCGGCTCAGCAGGGCCCTGCTGTGGAGCACAGGCGGCCTGCTTACCAGCAAGCCTGCCATCACAGGCAGCAGAGGCTTGGCGTCCGCTGCCGACGCCGACACGGCGCCTTGCGAGCGGCAACCGGAGCGAGCGCAACGAAACGAGTTGGATGGGCGGCTGGAGGAGGCAGCCAAGGCAGGCAGCGCAGAGGCAGTGCTAGCGCTGATAGACCAGGAGGGGGAGCACTTTACAGAGCAGAATGTTGCGACAGCACTGGCGGCGGTGGCGGAGGCCTGCTCTGCCACCGCCCAAGCCAAAGGCAAGGGCGGCAAGCGACGCGGCCGGCCGCCCAGCCGGGCCCGCAGTGCCCCGCTCAGCCCTCAGGACATTGTGCGCTCTTCGGCCTTCCAGGCGCTCGTCGGTGCGTGGGCGGCTGCAAGGCCTGTGTCAAGTGCATGTGAGTCTACCGCTGTGTTGACTGCACCTGGACCTCACGACCCGCCCGGTGCTGGCACTGGGAATGCAGACATGGTGCTGGCTGGCATGATGCGGCTCGAGCCGCGGCTGCTGGCCGAGGCAGTGCGCAGCTGCGGCCAGCTGGGGGCCAGGTGCGCCTAGGCTGATCCTTGGCGCCTGCCTTGGTAGCTGGCCGGCCGGTGGTTGGCATCTTTCCTCGGCAGCAGCTGAGCACTGTAGCTACCCTATGCAGCGCCTCCAGGTACAAGCTGCGCTGCCGCTTCCCCCTGCCTGCCTGCCTGCCTGCAGCGAGGAGATGCTGCTGGATGAGATTGGGCGGCATGTGATGGGACGCGTTCACCACCTGACTGCCACAGACATTGCGGGGCTGGTGGAGGGCTTTGCCGCGCTGGACCACTCCCCCAGCCTCGTGCTGTTTGACAGCCTGGCCGCCAGGGCAGCGCTGGTCGCCGGGGAGTTCACACCCGAGCAGCGAGCGGCGGTACAGGCGGGCTACGAGCGGCTAGGGTATGGAGCCAAGGCGCCCGCGCTGTAGGCAGCACCATCGTCAGCTCCACTTCACGTGCTCACTGTAGTCTTATTAAGCAGCACTGCTGCCACGCGCCTCTCTGCACCTCCTTTCCCCCGCCACACACCTGTACTCCTCCACCACTCGTTTGTTTGCATGTTTGAGGGTTGCGAGGGTGTGCTGCTGACCTATTGCAAGAGCGACAAAGAGGATTCATTCCTGCCCCAGTGTGCATAAGGTCTTTAAGGGGGTGCTGATGAGCAGCCCAAATGAAACTGCTGAGGGGTTATTGAGGGCAAACAAAAAGGCGACAACAGAGCAGCAAAAGGGAGGTAAGAGCATTGGTTGAGGGTTGGGAAGGGGTGGGGTATCGCACGTACTGCACAGAAAGAATGTGACACTGGGCAGGGCTGCTGCCCGCCTCTGGCTATCGTGGCTACGTGCTGATCTAGCTTGCAATCATCTTGTTGCGGGGCGCCACAAGGCCAAGCAGCTGCGCCAGGTGCCGCAGGGGCGACGGCAGCGCCAGCCAGCCCCTCCCCCGCGAGGCGGGCATGTTGCGCCAGTCGGCTCGCAGCGCCTCTGTCACGCAGGCCGGCTTGCAGGCCTGCGGCTGGGACACCGCCACGCCGCCCGCCCAGTGCGCCACGCTGATGGGGCTGGCATGGCCCGCCGCGGCTGCCAGCATGTAGGCTGTGGCAAAGGTGTCCCCGGCGCCGTTGGTGTCTAGCACGGCATCCACCTGCGCCGCGCGGGCCAGGCAGGCGAGGGGGGCTGCCATCAGGCTCAGGCAGGGAGGCGCGGCGGCGCCTGCAGCGCGCGCTGGCCAGCGGGCGGGAGCGGCGGAGGCGGCACTGCCCACGGGGCTGCCCACCTCGGCCACCGGGTGCCGCACCGCCTGGCTGCGGCCCAGGTGCTCGTCGGCGCCCTCCTTGCCGCGGGTGACCAGGAAGCGGCGGGTGCGTGCGGCCAGGGCGGCCACCGTGCCGTTGGCCCACACCTCAGTCTCCACATCCGACAGGAACACCGAGGTGGCGGGGCCCAGCGCCTGCCGCAGCTGGAGGCTGGCCTCCTGCAGCGCCCTCACCCTGCCCGAGGCGTCCAGCTCTCGCTGCAGCCCCTGCGCCATGAGCCCAACCTGCCGCCGCCGCAGGCCCAGCAGGCGGTGCCACCAGGGCGGCGCCGCCACAAAGCTGGCCGGGTCCATGTCCTGTGGCATGAGCGGGCCCAGCAGCAGCGTGCGCGCCCGCCGGCACCGCGCCGGCAGGTGCCGCATCGTCAGCGTGACGTTGGGCTGGGCGGTGACCCGCAGCTTGCGGTGGTTGCCCTGCGGGAGGGGAGCAGGCGGACGGCAGCAGGGTGGGCGGGGTTGGCGGGTAAGTAGGGCTTGCAAGCTGTGGGCTGAGAGCCCCAGCTGGCGGGCAGTCGGCCTGGCCCGCGCCGCCCCGGCACCATGCGCACCCAGAAGGTGTAGGTGTGCTCAAACACCAGGGTGTGGCCGGCGGGCACCACCACCAGGTCATGGCCCTGCAGGGGGGCAGGCGGAGATGCGGTCGGGTGCCAGCTGGGCGCAGCCCACCTGCGCCCAGCCATCCACGTTGTCCCGGCAAGCAGTGTGCAGGATGGCGGGCACCGCAAGCAGCAGGTCACCCCCCTCTCCCACCCAGCCCTCCATGCGCCCACTCACATCAAACACAGAGCCCAGGTCGGCATCCTGGCCGTGGGCGGTCACGATGCACGCCCGCACTCCCCAGGCCTTGGCCACCGCGGCGGCGTACGATGAGGCGCCCCCCAGCGCCTTCTTCCCATCCACCACGTCCACTGTCACATTGCCCACAATCGTTATTCCCGGGGTGCTGCATGGCGGGAAGGGGAGAAGGCGGCGACGGTGTCGGCACGGGCGGGCGGGCGGCATTGCGGCACTGGCTCCGGCAGCTTCCTGCGGCCGACTCCTGCTCGCCTCAAGTATTGGGACAGCATGAGAGCAGCTGCCACGGCCAGGAGCGCTCCTCCCTTGACATGGCGCAGCATGTTAGGTGCCCCAGGACGTCCCGAGCCCCCCCCCCCAAGACGTGATGCACAGCGTTCCACCCCTATCAGCAGCCGTGGGCGCCCCCCTGGAAGAGAGGGCACCACGGGCCACGAAGTTGACCCAAACACCAGGAGGACCCACTCCTGCCGCAGCAGGAGCAGCAGCAGCTGCGCAAATGGCCTGATTACGAAATGCAGGGCGGGTGCGGGTCGCTCAGGTAATCATCATATCTCGCCGCCGCCCGGGTGGCCGCTGCCGGTGGGGATGACGGCATGCCATGGTGTCTGATTCCAACAATCAACTGGTTGCAAATTTACAATGTGTCAATGTCGACAAATCCTGTCCCCAGAAATGTGTCTTCACAGTGCAAAGCTTCAACTCGCTGCCAGTCTGCCACTTGCCCTGCGCCCGCTCGCCGCTCGCCGCTTCAGCGTCCTTGCAGCAGCTTGCGCCCCGCAGGCTGCGCATCCTGGAAGAACGCTGAGGAGGCATCCGACGCCTTGCTACCCTCGTTGCTGCTGGAAACTCTGGCCTGCTTTGGCGGTGGGCTCTGGGTGCCATTGCGCTCTGTCGCGGAGTCAGCGCCTGGCGCTGGCGCTGGCGCCGAGGTGCGAGGCGTGCAGCCGGGCACCAGCTGCCCGGATGCCGCTGCTACCTTGCGGGCAAAGGGCTTGATGTGATTTTTGAAGGTGGAGTCGTACTGCAGCAGGGCAGCAAGGAGCAGGCGTCTGTCAGCCTGCCTTCCTTGGCATTCCTGCCGACTCAATGACGGCGTGCCTGCCGGCCCAACAACCAGACGGCAGCAGCTCACCTCACGGATGGCGCTGCCTACCCCAGGGCGCGGCCCCGCGTCGCCATCCCACTGCCAGAAGAGCGAGCCGCGCAGGGGGCCATCGCTCTGCAGCGAGCTGTCCACCGCGTTCTTCACCAGCTCAAACCAGGGGTCCCTCGTGCTCAGAATGTCGCCCTCTGCAGCCCCCTTGCCAAACTCCTCCAAGATGAGCGGCTTGCCCAGCTCCGCAGCCACCTGCGCGGGCAGCAGCCGTGGCGGCGCATGCAGGCTGGGAGTCGGATCAGAGCGATGCCGCTCAGGCGGGCAATGAGCAGGCCCACGCCGCACCTTGATGTGCGCATCCAGCCAGCCCTGCCCAAAGTCGATGCCGAGCCTCCCCCAGCTGCGACCACACAGTCGCATGAAAAACGTTCAGACAAAGGGCAGAAACAGGGCAGCAGGTTCCCAACAGAGGTGGCCATACCTCCTACGCCCCCAGGCGCCCCCGCCTCTCACTCACTTGTCGGGCCAGAGGTGCATCACGGCGTAGTCGATGGAGGGGTGCGCGTGGTTGGCGCGGAAGTCCTGCCCGCTCCTGGGGCCCCACTGGTTGCCGTCGTTGGGATCGTAGGCTGCGGGGCCGGGCTCAGCAGGAGTGGAGGTGGGGTGGGCCGGCAGCGGGTGCAGGCAGAGGGTGCGGCCGCAGCACGGCAATCCCATCCGGCAACACATGCACAGGCACAGCTTGCGCACGACGCTGCAGACGCTTGCCTGCCATGGGGTCGCGCTCATCAAAGAAGCCCTCCTCCCCGGTCGTAATCAAGTGGTTGGGGTCCACGCTCTGCGGCACAACAGTGGGAGGGGGTTGGAAGGAAGGCAAGGGCTCCTGCAGCACTGCCGTACGCCCCGCCGGGCCCGTGTGCTTGTGGCGGCGCACCACCGCAACGTGCGGAAGCAGCGGGCGTGCTTGCCTTCAGGTGGTCAGCCAGCTCGCCATACCAGCTGTCCACCGCCTCGGGACCGCAATATTTACATCTAGGCTCGTTCATGACGTTCCAGCTGCAGGAAGTGCCGGCGGGTGGCAGGGGCAGAGTGGCGACGATCGGGGTCGTGCAGACGCATCGACACTCGCATCGACGCCCGCACAGGCGCTCCCTGCGCACGGCTCGGCGCCCCCGCCTGCCACCCTGCCGGCGGCATCTGAAGATGGTTGCGTCGTCGCGATACAGCAGCCCCGTGATGGTGTTGCGGCGGTTGACCAGCGCGGTGAAGAACTGCTTGACCTGGTCCTTGCACTCGGGCGACAGCAGCCAGGTGTAGGGCGTCATGGCCCGCTCCGTGGCGTTCAGCGCCGCCTCCTGCCGCACGTCGATGTCGGGGCGGGGCTTGACGCTGGTGCCGCTGGTGCCGCACCTGCGGGTGCCAGCATCGAGGGGTGAGGCCACCTGGGCTCGGGCAGAAAGCCCTCTCCAAAGGGCTTGCTGCTGCCGCGCCTCTGCCGCCCCTCTGCGCCCTGGGCGGGCGTGCTCGCCGGAGCGTCCCTCACCACTGCTCCCACTGCTCCACGCCGTCCTCCTTCCACTGATTGGTGAGTGCCAGGGTGAGCTTGATGCCGTGCTTGGCGGCCTCAGCCAGCACAAAGTCCAGCCCCCGCGCAGCCCTCTCGTTCAGCTGGCCTGCAGGCGGGGCGGCGGCAGGAGGCTGAGGGCAGGCGAGGCCCCAGGTGTGCCCGCCACCAGACTGCGGCATGCTCCATCGGCTGCGGGTTGGGGATTTAGCTCACCGGGCCAAGACAGCAGGCCGCCACCCTCTCCCGTCACAAAAAACCTCATCATGTTCAGGGAAGCAGCATTTGCCTGCGGTCGGGGCAGGGATCGGCTGCCTTTTGAGCTGGGAGGGCCCGCCAGCTCGGGGCAACAGTGCGACAGCTGCGCCTGGCTGCAACTGCTCACTGCGGGTGGCAGGCCCAAGCAGCCGACGCAGCCTCTTTAGGGGGGGCCTCACCTGCTTGAACCTGGCGGTGATGGATGCTGGGTCGGAGAGCGCATGGTCGATCAGGCCCCAGCCATTCCACCTGCTTCGCATGGGCAGGCGTGGTGGAAGGCGGTGTTACGCGCACCGCCTTCCAGGCCAGCTGCAGCTGCGGGCAACAGTCCGTAGCAGGCCCTGGTCGACCATGGCATTCTACCGGGCCCCCCTCCTGTCTACCGGGCCCCCCTCCTGCCCGCCAGCCTAGGGAGGCATCTGGGGCCCATGGGCGCTGCCTCCTTGGGCCAGGCAGGCGCTGCTCACCCCGAGAAGGCAAACTCCTGGCATGCGTCGTCCACAAACCGGCCAGAGGCGACACGGATGAAGCCCTGCAGCAGCAGCAGCAGCGGCAACAGCATGGGTGGCAGCCCTGCCAGTTTCACACAGGCAGGCGCGGCGGCGCTGGCGGCTGCCTGCAGCTACAGCGCTGAAGGGCGGGTTGACCCTGATCCGCACCTGAGGCTGCTGGGCTTCCTGAGCCGCACAGGGGCAGGCCAACAGAGCCAGCGCCAGCGAGAGAGCGGCCAGGGCCACCATTCTGGCAGCTGGGGTCTCTGACCTCTAAAACAGGGGCGAGCTGTGCAATTTGCTCTGGCAGCACTTTCTCAACAGCACTTAAATGGACTAAAGAACTGGGAGGCGCTGCAGAAAAAGAGAGAGGGATGCCTAGCAACTCCCTGCTTTCTTCCACCCTGCCTCTCCACACTTTCTTCCACCCAGCGCTGCCTGACCATATACAATTTGACAGCCTGCTTACAGAGCCGAGCTGCCGGCCGGTAGGGCTGCACAGGCGCAGCGCCGCGCGTTCACATCAGGAAGTTGTCCTCTGCAAAGGCGTGCAGCACCCCCGACGCCTGCCCCAGCTCCCGCTCGCCGCGCCGCTCCCGCACCGCCAGCAGCCGCCGCCCGTCGCCCGGCTGCAGCGCGTACGCCCAGCACTCCTGGCTGCTCCTGGCCACAACCTCCAGCACCTCGTGCTCGCCGCCGCCGCCCGTGGCGCCGCTGCCGGTGCTGGGCGGCGCCTGCTGGGCCTGGAACGCCTCGCCGCCGGCCAGGCCGTCTGGTGGGGCCTCGCCCGCGTCTGCCACCGCCTCAGCCCCTGCCGCCACCAGGCCGCCCAGCGAGCCGCGCACCGCGGCCGCCAGCGTGCGTGCGTGGTGGCTCATGGCGCTGACCTTGATGCGGGGAGAGGCGCGCGCCGCCTGCACCGCCGCATCCTGGTACAGGTAGCGGAAGCCGGGCAGGTGGGCTGCCTCCGCCTTGCTGGCACGCACCTCCTCGCCAACCTGCGGGCGGCAGGAGCGGTAGGTGGGCGGCTAGAAATGGCGGGGCGGTGTGCGGGCGAGGCAGGGCAGGCCCGGCGGGATCGCTCGCAGCCCAGGCAGGGATGCACCGCGACGGCCCGCTCCCGCTGCCTGTGCCTCCGCCTCACCTGCGCCGCCAGCTGCCTGGCCGGAGCCGCCACCAGGCCATGCAGGCCCGCCAGCTGCTGCGGGGTGGCCAGGGCGCCGTCATCCAGCAGCAGTCCCACCAGCAGCCGCCCCTCCAGCAGCGGCAGCAGGCGGCAGGCGCCCGGCTGGCCGCCGCCGCCGCCTGCCCCGCCCTGCTCGCCCTCTCGCTCGTCAGGGCTGTGCTGCAGGTGTACCAGCGGTACTGTGGGCGCGCCATATGCCGGCCACACGCCGCCGCCTGGAGCATCCGCGCTGCCGCGCAGCACGAGGAAGCCGCTGGGGAGCTGCCGCCACGCGCCGCCATCCAGGGCCCGAAGGCTGGGCAGCGCCGCCACGGCCGCTGCACTGGCGGCCGCGTGTGGCTCTCCCACGCCGCCGCCGCCGCCGCTGCCGCCCTTGCTGCTGCTGCTGGCGTGCAGCAGGCCGGCGGCGACGACGGCAAAGAGCGCGGCCGTGTCGCGTGGCGCCAGGCTGCTCCACAGCAGGTACGGCCCGTACAGCAGCAGCACGCCCCGCACGCACTGCTGGCCATGCAGGCTGGCCAGAAGCAGGTGGTTGGCCAGCCCCTGCACCGCCAGCGAGGAGCCCTGCGACAGCGGCAGCAGCGGCGGCAGCGCCGCGTCGCCCAGAGGGTTGCGCAGCTCGCGGTGCTGCCAGGTGTGGGGGCTGCCCAGCGCATGGCCCACGTGATCCACCACCGCCTGCAGCCCCGCACGCGCCAGCCCGCCGCTGGGGTCCTGCAGGCAGGGAGGGAGGGCGGAGGTGGGGCTGCTGAGGCTCGGGGCAGAGCTGATCAAGCCAGAGAGGAAGGGGTGAGGCCATGCGGGGATGCGTGGCAGGCACACTGCCAGCACACTGCCACCGTTTTGCGGCTGCAAAAGAGATGCCCCTGCCGCCGCCACCACTGCGCACCTCATCCAGCGCGGCCTGCACGCTGCCGCACAGCGCGCAGTTCAGCAGGTGGATCTGGGTGAGCAGCGAGTGCAGCGTGTCCTCCGTCGTGTGCCGCGGCACCCAGGCCCGCGGCGCCAGCTGCAGCGCCAGGCAGCAGCGGCAGCGGGGCAGGCGTGTGAGGGAGGCGCTGCGCAGCTGCCACAGGCTGCACGCCACCCAAACGCATTCAGCATACCGACCCTCAATGCGGCGGCTAGGGTCCCCAGCAGGCCCAGCTGTCCGCACCACGACAAACCACAGGTGCGGCTCCGCCTCCAGCATCACCCAGGTGCCGCTGTCGGTCTCGGCGACATCCCAGCGTGGCCGCTGCAGCAGGAGGGCAGGCCCGCCACGGCTCTCAGCTGCAGGCAGCGAATTGAGCGCAGCAGGAGGGCAACCGTCCCGCCGCCAGCAAAGTGGCGGCAACACTTGCCAGGGCGGCGGTGAAGTTGGCGGTGAACAGCAGCAGGCCCTGCAGCAGCCCGGCCATGCCGCTCTGGTGGAGCAGGGGCACGTCATTGGGGAAGGCAGCCAGCACTTTGTCCTCTTCAAGGCCTTCTGTGTTGCCCCGCCGGGTGTCAAAAATCAGCAGCTGGAGCGCCATGATGTTGGGGCGGCGATCACGAGGCGCGAGGCAACAGCCTGATCGCGCTGAAAGGCCTCAACTCGTCAAAATGCAGTACGAGTCGAAGGACAGAAGTCGTGGGCTCACTGGAGCGCCCCTGCCAATCGAATTTACACATCAACAGCAAACATGGCGTCATCGCAGCCGGATAACCAGCTCACGGAGCAGGAGGCGGCCATTTACGACCGTCAGCTCCGGGTTTGGGGAGTGGAGACGCAAAGGAGGTCTGTAGGTTGAATTGATGAGTTGCTGAGGGAGTAGAGACGCAATGCCGAGGAAGCGGGTGCCGATCAGATAGCATGTGGCGGCGCCTGCTGCCGCCTGCCATTCACACTGCTGCTACTGCTGCGTTGTGTCCGCAGGCTGAGTGGCGCCAAGGTGCTCATTGCTGGATGCAGTGGCCTAGCTGCCGAGGTGCGTCAAGCTAGCAAGAGCAGCGTGGCGGCAGCGTGCGTCGGTTTAGCTCACGACTCGGCCAGCTACCGTGGGACGCCTTGCCCCCGCTGCTCACCGCCCAACGACCCCTGCCTGCCCCCGCCTTGCAGGTGGCCAAGAACATCGTGCTGGCGGGCGTGGGATCGGTGACGCTCGTGGACGACACACCTTGCTCGCGGCGGCCGCTATCCAACTTCCTGATACCGGGCGACGCACCCGCAGATCCCATCACGTGCGCCACGACCTGGTGCCTGCCCTGCACGTGCCATGCATGGTTGCCTGGCTGTGCCAGCTTGCGCGGTGCGTCCCAGCCGCAACGTAGTCCCTGCGACTTCTGACGTCGAGTGCCCGGTTGCTGCCGCTGGCTGCGCAGGGTGGCGGAGGCGAGTGTGGCCACCCTTGCGGAGATGAATCCATTCGTCAAGGTGGCAGCGCTGCCGGGCCCGCCCTCCTCGGTGCTGGCAGCAGACGTGCTGCGGCAGTACGACCTGCTGCTGCTGTGCGGCCAGCCAGCCAGCAGCATCGCGGCGGCAGACGTGCTGTGCCGGGAGGCGGGGGTGGCCTTCTATGCAGGGGTGTGCCGCGGCATATTTGGATGGGCCTTTGCCGACCTGCACCAGCATCGATTCGTGGTGGAGGTGAGTGGGCAGGGGCTGGTTGCTGGTGTTGGGGTGGTGGTGGTGGCGGCGGCGGTGTGAGGAGCTGGGGTGGGCTGGGAGGGAGGGCAGGCGTGGTGGCGTTTTTGCACAGAGCCACAGCGCATCACGGGCTTTGGTGAATGGCAGGGCAGAAGGGCAAGCAACAGAGCCACTTGATGCATTCAGCAGGTCAGCTGCTCCAATGTTTCTCACCGTCTTTCGATGCACCTGCTTCCCCGCCTCCCCGCAGAAGAAGGAGGAGCACAAGGATGGCAGCACCAGCAAGAAGGTGGAGGAGCGCACCGAGAGCTTCGCCACCTGGCAGCAGGCCACCAGCTGCAGCCTGCATGGCGTCAACAAGCGACGGCTGACCAGGCTCTATCTCATTATCCGAGGCACGTGGCGCCTGCCTGCTGCGCCACTGCTTGCACCTGCAGGCACCGCATCACGGTGTGTTGTGTTGTTTCGGGAGCCAATTATGAGGCGGCCCCTCCCCCTCCCCTCCCCGCCTTCCATGCTGCAGTCATCTCCCGCTTTGAGCAGCAGCATGGCCGGTGCGTCACAGCCGCCGACGCCGAGCAGCTGCTCACGCTGCGGCAGCATGTGTGCGGCGAGGCGGGCGTGGAGCCGGGGCTGCTGCCAGACAAGATGCTGCAGGCGTATGCGGAGGAGGAGGAGGACATGCCTGCCATCAACGCCATCGTGGGGGGCGAGCTGGGGAATGAGCTGATCAAGGCGGTGGGCGGGCGCAACGAGCCCGTCAACAACTTCTTCCTGTTCAGCCTGGCGGAGGGTGGGGAGGGGTTTGTGGAGAGGATGGGATCGGCCTGATCTAGATTGGTTCAATGCAATCATCAATAGGCCATACTTTGTAAACCCTTCAGGACAGGCCCTCACCGTCTGCCCACCAACCCGGGGCCCTGCTGTGCTGTGCTGGCGGCACATGAACCCTTGGCCCCGTGGCTCCTGCCGCGCCTTCATCGCCGTCTGATCCTGACAAGGGCCGCCGATTTGGGCCGAGAGAAGAGAACAGGGGTTTGTGGTCTTGCACGCACCGGTGAGCACCCGGTGCGGTCTCTGCGGTGGGAGCCGCTGCCCGCAGACTGCGCGTGGACCCCTGTGCTAGCTGCTGGCCGTGGCAACGCGCCGGTCGGCTCCGCTGGGCAGGAGGGCGTCATGGCCTGCCCCACTGCGCTCTCAGAGGGCAGCAGTGACACGGGACAGAGATTGTATGGGCACTGCACGAGTCCCGCAGCGCGCCGCGCGGGAGAGGGCGGACCGCCGCCCGGCACCACGCACCCCGCCCTCGCGGCGTCGACACCGGGTTGCGTGGTCCCTGCTGGGCGCCCGCATCCACCTGCATCATGCTCGTGCCACGCCCACCCCCGCAGGCAGCACCATGGGCAAGGTCCCCATCCGGCTCAGGGAGGTGGTGTACGCCCTGTCGCCCTACCAGCAGTCGGTCATGACGGGGCTGTGGAAGGACCTGCCGCACAAGGCGGCGCACCACGCGGCCAACGTGAGGCGGCAGTGGGGCATGCCTGCGACACAGAATGGGAGCAGCAGCTGGGGAGGCGGCGGCGGCGCACCACCGCCAGCGCTGACATGGATGTGTGTGCCCCCTGGTTGCCTGCTGCAGCTGCGGGACGCCGTCATCTTCTGCGTGGCGCCCATCGTCGGCATCGCATACTACTGCGCAGACTATGTGAGTTGTGTTATCAAGATGCTGCAGCTAGTTGCCTGCGGTGGAGCACCTGCTTGATGGGCGGCTGGCGAGCTCCTCACCTCCTCACCCTCACAGTGTGCTGCTGCAATGTGCTGTCTGATGCCTGTGTATGTGCAGAAGGAGAAGGAGAAGCTCCACCACCGCTTCTGAGCTGACCGCTGGAGGGCTGGGCGCAAGCTGGGCGCCAGTCGTGCGGCGCGCACAGCAGTCCCCGCCTTGGAAACTAGCAGGGCCTGCGGCCCCGCTGGAGCGGTGTTGACCCAGCGGCTTGGTAACCTTGTTTACATGATCAAGTGTCAGTCGTTGAGCAGCAGCAGAGTCGAGGAGCCAGCATGAGCGAGCAAGAAGAAGGGGAGCAGCAGCAGAGCAAACAAGTGGCGGTGGGAAAGGGGAGCGTCCACGCAGCAGCAGATCAAATCTCCTCCTCCTCGTTGTCGTCCGGGGTGCGCAGCTTCTCGATGGCGCCCCTGCACCAAGCAGCGCGCCACCAGCGCAGGCTTGCTCGCGGCGCGCGCATGCCACGACCACGGGCGCCCCTGCTGTGCTGGCCGGCCCCGCCATGCTGCCACCGCCCCCCCGCCATGCTGCACACCGCCCCCCTGCCGCGCGCCACCCACTTGATGAGGTTTGTGTCTGCCGAGGGCGGCTGCAGGTCGAGCGCGTGTGCGAAGCAGGCCATGGCCTCATCCAGCATGTCCAGCTTCTTGTAGATCTTGCCCATGTGGAACAGCACGCTGGCCTCGCGCGGGGCCAGGTCCTGGGGGGGCGGGCGCGCGCGGGGGTTTAGCAAGCTGGCGGGCGGCGGGGGGTGAAACAACACACACACCCCGCGGCCGGTGCGCGGATGCCTCGGCCTCCGACCACCACAGGCCCGCGCGGCAGTGCCGACTGTGCCCAGCCCCCGGCCCCACCCCCCCGCACCCACCTTGAGCGCGTGCAGCTCCGCCAGCGCATCCCGCCACCGGTCCTCCGCCATCAGCACCGCGGCGCGCTCAAACTTGGCCAGCGGGTTGCGCGGGTCGGCGGCGATGGCCTGCGCGCGCGGCGCGGGCGGCACGGGGGCTGTGTGTGTCGCAGACCCCGACACGGCGCCCAGCTCTGGCAATCACATTCCCCGAACCCTACATAACCGACGCTGCACTGCTGCCGCTTCTCCGGGCGGACGGCGGGAAGGTGGAGGCGGCGGGGGAGCTGTGCGCTCGGCTGGGCTGCTGGTGGGAGCCGGGCAGGCACTGGCCCAGCATCCCTGCGGCTCTGGCCCTGCTGGCGCCCAGCTGGCGTGCCCCCCCCCCCCCCCCCCCCCCCCCCCGCGCCCCACCTGCCCCAGCGTCTCCAGCGCCTCGCCGCTGCGCTTCAGCTTGTGCAGCGCCATGCCCAGGTAGCAGCGCAGCACGGAGGAGCGGTCGTTGATGGAGAGGGCGCGCCTGAAGTGGTACTCAGCCATGCCGTACTTCTCCTGGCGGTAATAGATGTGGCCCATGCCAAACCTGTGGGTGGGGGTGGGGGTGGGGGTGTGGGTGGGGCGGGAAGCAGGGCGCTACCGGTCAGGCAGTGGCCCAGCGCGCCCGGAAGGCAGAGGGGTGCACCGCTCGCATGCACGCAGCAAGCGGCAGGCAGGCACGCGTGTCGTGGCAGACAAACAGCCGGCCGGCGCCGTGCGCGCGCGACATCCCGGCAGGCGTGGCCCAGAATCGGCTGCCCCGGCCGCCCCCGCCAGGCTGTGCGTCCCACCATGCGTTGTAGTGGCGCGGGTCGATGCGTATGGCGTTGCGGTAGCAGGTGATGCCCTTCTCGAAGTCTTCGTTGGCAAAGTACTCGTGGCCCGCCAGCGTGTAGGCGTACGGCAGTGTGGGGTCCAGCTGCAGCGCGCGCTGGAAGTAGCGCAGCGCGGTCTCGTGCTCCTGCGGGGGGTGGGTGGTGGTGCGTGTGGGTGTGCTTGGGTGGGGGCGCATGTGTGGGTGGCGGTGGTGGTGGCGCAGGGTGGTGGTGCAGGGTGGGATGGGCGAGGGTAGAGGACGGGGCGAGCGGATCGCCATGCATGCCGGCCGCTGGCGCGGCAGCCTGGGTCGACGCCTCCCCGTTTGCTGGCCCCTCGCACCGCGCCTCCCCCCCCCTCCCCCCCCGCTCACCTTTTGCAGCGAGAAGCAGTTGCCCATGGCACACCAGGCGTAGGGCGAGTGGCGGTCCAGCGAGGAGGCGGCCTGCGCCAGCTGCGCTAGCTCCACCTCCCGCTTGCAGTGCCACAGCACCGTGCTGTACACCTCCAGGCCGCGCAGGCGGTACGGATCCACCTGCGGTGCGGGGCCCACAACGCCAGGGCAGGGCCTAGGGCTGGGCACGACTGGCAACAGGAGCGGCACAGGCCGGCTGCGGCCAAGCGTACACGAGACAGCAGGCGGCACGCCAGCAAGGTCACAAAACCACCTGTCTCAGCCCGCCACAGCATGGGCCCCGCCACCCGCTCTGCTCACCCACCCAAACATGCACCCCTTTCTGCCTGCCCCTCGTGCGCCTGCCCGCCACACACCTGTCTTGCCCAGCTGAAGGCCTTGGCTGCCTCGGGGTAGTCGACCATCTCAAAGAAAGCGCGGCCCACGCAGCACAGCACCCACCCCGTCTGGTACTGGTGCGGCGGCAGGCGGCTCAGTGCGTCGACCGCCTCCTGGCACCTGCAGGCCCATGCAGGCGCGCGTGGCAGTGGTGTGGAGTCGTGTGGAGTTGTGTGTGTGTGTGTGTGTGTGTGTGAAGCGGGAAGATGCTGCGCTGCGGCGCATGCAACCAAGGTGGCTGAGAGCAGCAGCTGGTCACACCAGCGCGGCTCCCCACCCCCCCCACACACACACAGCACCCTCACCTGTACATGCACAGCAGGCGGTAGCCCTCCCCCAGGGCCTGCAGCAGCGGCAGCGCCTGCTGCTGCCCCTCCTGAGACCGCTGGCCGCGCGGCACGCCGTGCAGCGCCGCCACGTCGGCCAGGCTGCCGCCCGCTGCCCCAGCCGCGCCGCCGCCGCCGCCGCCGCTGGCGCCGCTGCCGCTGGCGCCGCCGCCTGCCTCCCCTTCCTGCCAGCGCAGCTCTTTGAGCATGCTGGCGGGGTCGGCAAACAGCTTGTTGGACACCTTTCGCAGCTTGCCCTCGTCCACAAACTTGCGCTGCGCGCCGCCGCCGCCGCCGCCGCCGCCGCTGGTGCCCGGCATCGCCAGGCTGCCGCCGGCGGTGACGGGCAGCGGGGCGGGCGTGTTGGTGGCGGGCCAGGAGGGGCGCGCCGCTGCGGGGCCCCCCACCTTGGGCGCGGGCGGCGGCGGGGCTGCCGAGGGGCGGCCTCCCGGCGAGGGCGTGACGTAGGATCCCGGGGAAGGGGTGCCCCCGCTGTCCACGCCCTGCACAGTCGTGGCAGCGCGGCGGTGGTGGGCGCGGGGCGGGACGGGGTGGCACAGTTAGGAAGTGATGCTGCTGGCCAGCACGGCACGCCCGCGCGTGCTGCCCACCAGCCAGCGTGTCTCACCCGGGGCGCTGTGCCCGCTGTGTGCGGCGCGCCGCCGCCCCGCTGCCGCCCGCTGTCCATCCATCCAAACATGGCTCCCAGCCCGCTGGGCTTGGTGGCGGCGGTGGAGGCGGGGGCGGTTCCCGGGGGCTGGCCCGCCCCGCCGCCGCCGTGCTGCGAGGGTGTGGCCACGTGCTGGAAGGTGGAGGTGGAGGTGGAGGGCATGCCGCCGCCGCCCATGGCGCTGTGGGGTGCGCCCCCGGCGGTGGCGGCGGGGCCGGCGGCGCCGGTGGCGGCTGCTGCGGTACCGGCTGCGCCCGCGGCCGCCAGGTACTGCCCCGCCTCGTGGTCTGCCCCCAGCCCGCACAGCTCCTCGAAGGCCGACCACAGCATGGGGTCCAGCTGCAGCGCGGTGCTGTAGTAGGCAATGGCGGCGGAATGGCGGTTGGACAGCTGGTGGATGCGCCCCAGCAGGTAAAAGCCCGCGCCGCCGTTGGGCACCTGCGAGCGCGGCGGCGCGGGCAGGCGGGGCCGGCGGCCGGGCGCGTGTGGTGGGCAGCAGGCAGGACGCTAGGCGGCCTGGGCAGGGCGCTGGCGGGCCGGCGGCCGGCCGGGCCGCCAGCCGAGCATGCCGCGACGCGGGCGGGGTGTGGGTGCCGCCACCTGCCCGCCCCCTGCCGCACCCCGCCGCACCCTGGAGGCGTCGTTGTCTGGCAGCAGCGCCGTCTCCGCCTCCGTCAGCTTGCCCAGCTGCATGGCGCAGAGGGCGTACAGGTAGCGGCTCTGCTCGCCGGTCAGGCCCTTGAGCAGGTGGTAGGCGCGGAAGGACTGGTTGGAGCGGTGGTAGCAGGTGGCCAGCAGGAACAGGTTGGCCTGCACGCGGGCAGCGGCAGGGGCAAGGGCGCGCACGCAGCAGCGCGGCATCAGCAGCAGCAGCGGAAAGGGGCGGCGCGGCCTCAGTGCAGGTTGACAGGCAGCGCGGCGCCTGCTGCCGCCTGCCGCCAGCTGCGGCGCGGCGGGTGGGCTGGCGCAGGGCCCCTCCCGCCCCACCTCCGACGGAAACTGCGCCACCAGGCGCTCGCACAGGAAGCAGGCGTTGTCAAACAGGTACAGGCCCAGGCTGTGCTGCACGCAGGCCACCAGGTGCTCCTCCAGGGCTGCCGACGGCGGGCCTGGGGACCCCATCGCTGCGCCACGCTGTCGGGCCGTGCCGGGAGGTGCGGGGAGGGCTCGGTGAATGGCACAACAAGTGATCTGGGTCCAGCTGGGGTGAGGGAGCCTGATTTCCTGCTTTGATCGAGGGTGCTGCACTGGCACAACAGAGGCAATCAATGAGCGGCGTCGTTTGCAGACAGCTGACGTGGTTGGCGACGCACGTCACCATCCCTAGCCATCCAATCACAATTCAATGCCAATTACGACGCCTGCAAGGGTAGTTTGTCACCAGCATCATGCCAGCCGCCGCATCCCACACACGCTGCCATGTCGCCGTGCAGCTGGGCTCCTGGGGCCTGTCTAGATCTATTCGATCGCTGGGACGGACAGGAAGCAGAAGAGTTCGCGCGCAGCAGCCCTCTGGTGCCGCCCTCGCGGCGCCACCCACGGCCGGTGCGGAACTGCTGGCGGGCGCCGAGCGCCTGCTGCAAACCGGTTCCCAGCGGCTGCAGACTGCCGTCGACGGGTTGCAGCTGCCATCCATGAGCGGACTGCAGCTTCCAACGGATGTTGATGCCCAGCAAGCAGCCGGCACGGCAGGGCAGGCAAGTGTGCAGCACTTGGGTTTGTGCTGGGTGGCGGTGCCGCTGCCTTGGTGAATGGCATTACATGTTTTGAGTCCTCCTGCCACACATGGGCACCCTGAGCGAGGCCCCATGGTGCTCCACCTTGGATACCGTCCTGTTCGTCGGCCTGATGTCAACAGCTGGGTCTGTACGTGTGTGTGTGCGTGCAGGCGCTGGGCGATGCAGCGCAGGGCATCATTCAGGCGGCGCAGGCGGCGGTGGCGCCGCTCAACGTGTTTGGGGGTGCATGGTTTCTGAACCTGCTGTTCTGGGGCATCCTGCTGACGCTTTCCTACTCCCTTATCGTGCTGGGGCCCCGGCAGTAGGAGAGACTGCTGCTGCAATGCCCTATCCCTATCCCTATTCTAGGAATCCGTTAGGCCAACCAACTGACGTGTGAAGGGTGAGATTGCACAGAGGATTGATTCAAGGGTTTCACGGGGTCAGTCAGGTGGCCGCGCACGAGGCCGGCTAGTTGGCGCCTGCCAGGCAGCAGGCCCCAGCCCGCCACGCTGGCCTAGGTGCCGCCCACACCGTCAGCTGCTTGCTGCTGCTGCTTCCTCATCAGCTCCACAAACTCGTCCAGCAGGTACGGCCAGGCCCCGCTGTCGTCGTAATTGCTAAAGTTGGGCGCCGTGCTCTGCGGTGGGGCAGCGAAGGAGGTGCAAGCTGGTCGAGCAGTTTGTGGCAGGAGATCCCCAATGATGGGATGCAGATGGCCAATCATGGCACAGGTGTATTGCTGGCGCTGCCGCCCCATCCCTGGCTGAAGGCAGGGCTCACAACGATGAAGTCCAGCAGCTGGTTCCACGTGTCCCTGCTGACGGCGCGCTTGTGGTGCGTGCGCAGGAAGTCCTTCCACGCCTCGGCGTGCCGCCAGTTGGTGATGGGCAGCAGCAGGTCCCACATGGCCAGCGCCACATCCAGCTGCACTATCTTCTGCCCCTTCTCCCTGCAGGCAGGCAGGCAGGCAGGCAGGCAGCTGAGGCGGAGGGAGGGACAGAGGGAGGGACAGAGCAGCCAAGGACTTTTCACCAGGGGGCAGGGAGATGCACAATGCCGTGCCCCGTTGCCCCTGGCATGCAACACAGCACTCAGCAGCAGCAGCAGCAGCAGCAGCAGCACCCAGCTCACCGGCTGAACAGGTAGGCAAACTGCCAGATCTGCCGGAACTTGGCGGCATCCTGCGACAGGCAGCCCAGGTTTGAAGCCTCAGCGGCCGAGTGAAACCCACAGCTTCACAACCAAAACCAGATTACAGGCAGCAAAGCGCGGCGCCAGCTCCGAACACCCACGGCTTGCCTGCAGCTCTGCTCGCAGCTGCGGCAGCTTGGCCCGCAGCTTGTCTATACTGTCGCAGCCCAGGCTGGCCAGCCCCTCCTCAAACTCCTTCTGGCTGTACTCGCACATCGCCTCCGCGCCAAAGTGCCAGCTGCAGCAGGCAGGGGCGGGGAGGGGCGCTCGGCGTGCAACTGCGTCCGAGCCTCAGGCCTCAGGCAGGCAGGCGCCTGCCAGCAGCGCCACCACCCGGCTGCGTAGCACTCTGCTTGCCCTGCCGCAACCCGCTCCCACTCCTTACTTCCAGCCCCCCTTCTGCCCACCTCAGCACCAGCACAACGATGTCGTCTGGCGCCACCTTGAGGTCCTCGCACAGCTGGGTGATGCCCTCCACCCCCACTGCCTCGCCGCCCTCCTCCTTGTACTGCTGGAACAGGCGGTGGATTGCATCCCTGCGGGCACGACAGCACCAGAAGAGCCGCTGGGAGCAGGTGCGGAGCGGGGGATGGGCATGCGCCATGCATGCACCAGCTCAGCCTCCTGCCATCCAGCCAAGCCTAGCCTGCGCCACCAACTCATCCCTGCTTGCTGCCCTGTGCAGCACCACCACCGCCTGGCCGTCAACCCCTGCCAGTGTGCACCTGTCCAGGCGGGGCCCTGCGGCGCGCCCCGTGCGCGTGTGCATGCTGTTGGAGTAATATATCTCGATGGCGCTCTCCACGCTCCACCCGCTGGCCTCCAGGCACCGCGTGGCCAGGCTGCTGTCCGCCCCCGTGATCCCCACAAACTGGCTGAGCCGGTCCTTCTGCTGCCGGTTCATGGCGGCTCACTGCCGGCTCGCCGCAGCGCCCCGCCCCACCTGGCGGCTCAGACCTGCGGGGCAGAGAGCGGGGTCACTCTGGGTGGGGCGACGGCGGGTTCAGACAGGAGGCCAGCTGGCAGCCAGCAGCGGGCGGCACGCACGTTGAAGCCCTCGGCACGCAGGCACTCCTTGTGCGCCTCAATCAGCTTCTGGCACTGCGGGGCCTCGGGGCCGTGGGTGGTGGTGCACTCGTCACGCACCCTCTGCACCCAGCCGGCAGCGATCGCAAGGGGGTGAGTGCACGGGCAGCGAGCCGTACCAGCGGCACGTCGGAACGGGCTGCCGGCTTCGCCCGCCACCCTGCGCCTGCGGCGCTGCCCATACTTGTGCGGGCCACCCTGCAGCCCCCCAACTCGTGCCTTGGTGTCGGGGCAGGCGCAGCAAATCTTTTTCTTGGGCTTCTCGGGCTCAGCGGGCTTCTTAGAGAACCAGGAAAATAGCCCCATAGCTTGCCGAGCGCAGCCTGCGTGCCGAGGACAGGTGGGAAACACCTATCTATCAGGGGGCTGGCGGCGTGGGAGGGACGATCGGGGAGGCAGCAGGCAGGGTGGCAAGGCAGGGTGAAAATGGAGGGCGTGATTGGACTGCCTCTTCTCACCTGCTGGGGTGGGTGTGAGCAATCTCGATGACGTGAACCCATTCTGGGCATGCATGTGCAGAGTGGAGCTCCGCACGCCCAGCAGCAGAACGCCAGAGAGCAGGGAAGCCCCCAAGTCCTCAGCAAATAGATGAGATCAATTGCCTGTGTGTTGGGGAGGCGCTGGCCAGGCGGGGCGGCCAAGGAGAGCTCTCTCCATTCGCTGATGTGATGTCGTTCAGTTTCCAAGTGAAAGCCAAGGCCAAGAAGACGCCATTTCAGGTAGCTCGGGAGCGCCACCTGCCCGCCGCGGCCCGCCGTCGGCCATGCCAGTGTGCCCCCACTAACTCGCCTGGGTGACCTTGCAAACCTTCTCCAGAGACAGAAGGAGCTCGAGGAGGAGAGGAAAAAGGTGGGTGGGAGGGTGGGAGGGTCCTGGTGCCCGTGCAGACTCTTCAGGCCGGGGCGGCGCAGGGGCGGCGCCGGCAGAAGCCGGGGGGACTCGGCACCAGCCTGCCTGTGCTGTTCTGGGAATGCCGCAGATCCTCCAGCCAAGCTGGTGGAACGAGGGAGGCTGTGCGTGGCCAAAGGGCTGCAGGGCGGGGAGAAGGGCACCAGCAGCCTCCTGCCCCTCACCACCTGGCGCCTCCCCTGCCGTGCGTGCGCTGCTGCAGCGGGATGATGCGGAGGCGGCCAAGGTGTATGAGGAGTTTGTGAAGGAGTTTGCCGGGGACGATGGGGGCGGGCCGGCGCCGTCTCAGGACCGAGGGGAGGGCGGCCCCCGTGGGCCCAACTCCTTCATCCGCGGGGGCACCATCCAGTCGGGGCAGCGCCCCAGCACGGGACCCGCAGTCCCCGCCGCCGACGGCGGCGGCGGCGGCCCGCCGGGGCGCAAGCCGGGCGGCCGCTACGTGCCCTCCTTCATGCCCCCCGGCATGGCCGCCGCGGTGGGCAAGGAGGGCAAGGAGGAGGCGGGCGAGGCGGGCGGCGGCGGTGGCGGCGTCAAGGAGGAGGAGCCTGTGTTCCACCTGCCCGGCAGCAGCACCAAGGGCAAGCCGCGCGCCATCGACGCCCTGCTGGCCAACCTGAAGCGGGAGCAGGAGGAGAGGGAGGCGCGCAAGGAGGCGGGGCTGCCGCCACCCAGGGAGGACAATGGTCCCGCCGGTTCCTTTGACAGTGGCGACCCCTTCACCACCAACCTCTTCATCGGCAACCTGGCGCCAGACTGCGACGAGCAGGCACGCAGCGCTGCCGGTGGGGGGCCGTGCGCCCTGCTGTGGCGCGGGCAGGCGGCGCGGGCGACAGCCCAGCGCAGGGTGTGCGCCGGCATCCCCGCCGGCTGCCACGCCCCCCGCCTTCCTTGGCTGCGCTGCCGTGCCTGCCCTGCTCCGCTCCCCTCCCCCACCTTACCTGCCCGCCCGCCTGCCCCTCCTCGTCCCGCCGCAGGTGCTGATGCGTGAGTTTGGTCGCTTTGGCCCGCTGGGCAGCGTCAAGGTCATGTGGCCGCGCGACGAGGAGCAGCGGCGGCGCGGGCGCAACAACGGCTTCATATCATTCATGGTGGGTGGGTGGGCGGGTGGCTGGGTGGGGGCGGGCCCAGCCTAGGGAGCACGGGCATGGACAGGAACAGCAGCAATAAGCATTGGGACGAGCATGGGGCAGGGGCGTTGGGCACGGCCCGGCGGGGCGCAGGCAGCGGCCGCCCGCCACCTGCATGGCTGCGTTGTTGCTGGGGTCGACATGCAGCGCCATGCTGCGGCAGCCCCAGCCAATGGCTGTCTGCTCCGCCTGCAGGGCAGGAGAAGCAGCAGAAGCGACACTGGCACCAAAGTCAGCAGGAGGGGCACGGCGTCTGTGTTTCTCGGGCAGCAACAGCTGGGCACGGCAGGTCGTCTGGCCCTGGCTTGGCGGCACTCAGCGCCGCAGAGCGGCTTGCCTCGTGAAGCAGCTTGCGGCCGATGCCGGCCCTGCGTGTGCTGGGCGCCACCGCCAGGTTTGACAGGTAAGCGATTGCGGTGCGCCGCACCTGCCTGCAGCAGCAGCGAGACCGTGGGTGAGCAGTCAGCAAGGAGGGCGCCAGCAGCGGCTAGCACAGCACAGAGCCATCCCGCAGGCCGCAACCGGCAGGCAGGCAGCGGCCAGCACAG